TTGGCGTGCTAGACCCAGGCGTAGCAGACCATCAATATTTTCAAAAAACATCAGTCCACGTTTCTGAGGCACTACACCTCTATCTGGACAAAGGCCTAGACAACCTGTGAGCAACTGCAAGGAAAAACGGTAGGAAATCAACATTTGTGCAAGTAAGGTAGGTTGCACGGCACACGTCATCGTGATTTTTTGTCATGATTATATTGTGTTAAATCTTCGGGAAATCTCGACCAAACCATACCAGCACGAATATTCTTGTTTATTTCGTGGATCTTGTAGACCAAGCGGGTGTGAGAAAAAATCGAGAATACGCACAACAGCAGCATCAATCCTAGGCGAGCTTGACCTCCAACTTTCTCACCACCGATGCCAAATCCTCCGATTCCCAACGGCTCTCATCGCCGTGAACGGTGGGAGATTCAGCAACGCCCTTCCCGTCGTCCCCTACCTCGGCCCACACAGACTCCCCTGGGAGAGAAAGTCAGGCATGCGACACTCTTGGAGTAATAGCGAGCGCGTACCATCGAAACATGTGTATTCCAGGAGCTGCATGATCGGTGATCCGAGACAGTGGAAACCTTACAGACGGATTGATTCCTTTTCCCCGGTCTCCCAATCTTTCTTCTGCAGCCATTGCCTTCGGATCTGGACGAAGCTTAATAGACGAAAATACATATCAGCCTAAGGCGAGGGGCCATGGCATACCAAGGGAAGGTTGTGTAAAAGGATGAAAAACGTGGGGGGGGGGTTCCAGGGGGGAAAGGTGCACCTGGAGTTGGGCTCAAGCAATCGACATACGCAAGCACTCTAGACAAGGAGGTATGCGTGGGAAACATAAGGCCTAACCGACATCGCCGAAACATTGTAAATGGACTCTCGGCGAAATCGTCTCATTATTGGCAAGTACAGGTTTGGGGTAAACATCGGGGGTCAACGTGAATTTGATGTGTAGAGAGCGGTAGACAAAGGTGGCAACCAAGTTACATTTTCCAGATGCTGTTTTGGGGAACACCAATTGTAGATCCGACAGCGGGTCAAAAAAGGGCGTTGCGATCGTGGGGCGGTTTTCGTAGCCGAGTTGTGACAAGCTTTTGTGTTTTTCTCTAGGAATGGATACTGGATCAAGTTCACGTCTCGTGTGCAAAACGACAACACCAGATGCCTGCGCCTCGCCGATAAGTTGGCGTTTGTTTCCGCGTGTTCGTCAAGTACATCGTTGCTACAGTAGTTCTTCGTAACTACGACCGGGGGAAGCTCTACCGACCTCCTCGCCCATGGAAAGTTACACTCCCGTCTCACCGGTAGTTTCGCTGTAGTAGTAGGCGTTTCCTTCGTCGTCGTGACACAGGTGCCACTCTGCTTCGAGACCTTCCCCCCCTCCTTGAGTCGTGCTCGCCGTCAAATATTGATTTTGAGTCCGAACCTCAGGAAACACTGGCGCTGCCGGAGGCGCAGGCGCTGCTGGCTCCGTGGGTGGGGGAGGTGGGGGTAGCAGCGAAGGCGGGGCTGCGGCTGCTGCCTCGCCCTCGATAATTCTCGAAGGCGTTTTCTTGCCCCTGCTGCTGTTGCTAGTGCTACTCTTGCTTCTTTCGTCCTTGCCCTTGTCTTTGTCTTTTTTCTTCTCCTTCTTGCTGCCGTCGAGTTTTGTGGCCCGATCGCCATCGCCTATCTCCTCTTGTTGCTGCCTAGGTGAGCTGCTCCTGCTGTTCTCGGTGCCAACGAGGTGAGTATGTTCGAGACGGCTAGGGTACGAAGACATCGCACACCTTTATCGATTTTGGCGTCGGCTCCTCCGAAGACAACGAATAGTACACGACAGCTGAACTGCCGGTCAACACTTGCGTAGGGCTCGCGTGTCGTTGTTTTTCGCGCGGAGATGTACGGTTCAAACTCCGGAGAGATGTTTTTTTTCACACCCTCAGGCACAAATAGTCGCGAAACGTCATGCCGGTCCTTCGTGCCGGAACCCTATATGACACAAACGTTGGTTCAAGAGTTTGAAGCACTTACAGCGTTTCCCTCGGGCAAACCTGGGCACGCCTAATGATTCCTCATGCGAGTCTGGCGAAAATGAACGAAACCGTTGTTTCACCTATAGGTATAAATTACAGTGCAAACCGTAGCCTAACCTCCGGAGGGGGAGTGGCGTGTTCCCCCTGAGCAGCATTGCGCAGCCATCGTGCCCATTTTTTTGGGCCAAATACAGCGGCGTCTGTCCTAGTCTGTTCAACGCCGTGGGATCAACGCCGGCGTCAAGAAAAGCCGCCACGGATGCTTCTCGCCCGTGCCATGATGCCTGCATGCACGCGCGTACGCACGCGTGAAGGAGCTTCTCCGTCACAATTTTGGATTGAAACTTGTTGCTTCGGGTGTTTTGGCTACAACCCCAATCGTGGTCATTTCCAGTTGACAGTACGCGGGACTACTACGCACGCTAGATGCTTCGTATTCGAAGATCTGGAACACCGCACAATGCTTCGGCTGCCGGTTGGGAAAGCCACAACGTGAAATAGAGCCAGTCGCGGCGACAATAGGAGTCCATTACACATGTCACGGATGACTTGCGAACCTCGGACACGCACGGCAATGTACTCGCAGAAGGAAGCGTGAGAAAGATTCGCTGCCGCAAGAGAAGTATATGCCGAAGTACCCAAAACATCGCAATGATTGTCTACAGTAAGTCCACGTATATATGTAGTAGCCTGGAGGCCCGAAATGCGGAAACACTTCGAGGTTTAGGGGGCGGGAGGAATAACCCGACGATGTTGTTTCCATTTTCAAGGAGTCAGAGTAGGAAAACGTAAGTCTCACATACTCACTGGATAACTCCATATCGGCAAGACCAACGTTTGCAGACCTAACCCGCTCGTTTCCAAGAAGGAACACGCTTGCGACCATTTCGAATATACTTCTAACGTCTACTCTGTACTTTGTATCATACAACAGCCTTCCAAGAAATGGCCACCTAAGCGTGCTAAGAAAGGTGCCTACATGCATAGTCGAAGTTCTTGTTCAAGCATCAATGACCCAACGCAAGATTTGAGCGTGCTTGGTACCCGCCAAACGACACCGTCCCACCCGCACAGTCCACTTACAGTAGTTGAAAGGGCTTACCACGTGCAGAGGGGGATTGCCTTGTTTGTCCTGCACGTACATGTTGCCCCCCGAACGGATGTAGGCTTCGATGGCGGTGACATTGCCTGTCCTCGGCCAGGGGAGGGGGAACATGCAAGCGACGGTAGAGAGTTTACTGGTACTGAAGATCAGGTTCGTTCCTTTCGTTAGAACAGACGCACGCATCTTGTGCGGTGACCCTGTAGACTTACCGCGGCTTGGAGACGGGGTTCAATACATCAGATGACGCGCTCATGCGTTTGGCCTTGCCAAGAACCAGTGCCATCTCAACCGTCAAATTCGAACTGCAAAATAGCTAACCCGTAGGGAGAGAATAAGTGCGACTACGGTGGCTCGGATTTCTCCGAGGTGCGACAGTGCGATACTCGGTCACGTCTCGCGGGAAGTCACAAAAGAGAGATACGATCCCCCCTTTCACTTTCGGACACTCCTCTTGCCCGTAGACATGCCGCATTTTAAGCCGAGGCTTGATCGTACCTTGTTGTGCGGCGTCATGAATGTCGATACTGGACGCCATCTCATCGAGAGACAAGAGCTTGGCGGCGATCACACGATGCTTTGCCCACCACGACGACCTTGTGTGGGTGTCGGGGTGTTCCTCGAGGAGCACCGGAGAAATTAATTCAGTGGTGTACCGGAGGGTAGGCAAAGAATGGCCTCCCCGCCACCCTTTTTTTTGCTGGGCAAGCCAAACTCAATATCTCTTTGATAGCCTGCACATGCATCTACTCACCTACTCTCTCTCTCTATCTCTCTCTCTCTCTCTCTCTCTCTCTCTCTCTCTCTCTCTCTTTCTCTCTCTCTCCCCCTCTACATGTGTGTGAGGTTAGATGTCGAAGTCGCCATCAGAACCAACCAAACGTCACCAGTTCCACCGCATTTTGTCGAACACACATCAACATTCAGACATCAGACAACCAGACCTCGCGTTCTCTTCTCTGTCGAGCTTTCCCTGGCCATCTAAGAATCGCGCAGAGGACCCCAACGTCTAAGGATGACGGAGAGCGGTCCCAACCCGGGTATATATGGAGGGGAGGCAGGAGGAGCCACAGTTTTATTCGAGAACGCTCGGCAAGCGGTCAAACATGGTAAGAGACCACGTATGTATCTCGCCAGAGGCTCCGAACAGCCTCGACTACTTACTCTAGTGTACGCTTCTGAAAGAATGGCGGTGGGCATCACCGTCCATGTTGCCCTCCATTCCCACACAGTGTGACTGGTAGTACGGATCGTTGCAGGAAAGGGGCAAGAAGTGACGTATTGCGCGAAGAAACCCGTACGCTGGACGTTGTTGAATTTGCAGTCAGTCGGTTCATGGTGAACCCGTGTACTTCTAACCCTTGATTTACGTAGCTATTTTTTCAGTGCCGAACGATCTCAACACGTCTTCCTCACAGGTAGACACGCACAAATGATCTCCATGCTGCTACAATAGACGACGGTCTACAACACTCTGTCTGACTGCTGGCATTCCATTCCTTGTCAAACGGAATGTGCCTACATAATCGCCATTTCTCTCGGTGCCTCTTTGCTCGATTGCCCAAAAGGGTATTTGTAGCCAACTGCGACAAAATGCATCTCGTCATTTTCTGTTTGACCAAACGCTTGAAAGATGATAACTAACGTATCACGGCAATGCGAATCCTTGATGTTTTTATGGCACAGCTCTGCAATTCCCGTCCGTGGTGGCCTCTGTACCCAGTAGAAACCTCAGAAGTTGCGCGGCGGATATTGGGACAGGTGAATTGTGAACCAGGACAACGACGAACGAACAATCGCACCAGGCACTGACTCGCTTTGGTTATCCTCTCGGGTTTCTGAAACATTGTCTCATAGGCGACACAGCGTATGTCCAAGGCTACATCATGTCGGTAGCTGGCGCTGTGACCAACGCAGGCAGCGACGGAAAAACCCTTCTTCACTGCGTGAGTTATCTCGGATATTGGCGTATCCTTGAAGGTGACATTTTTCAAACAATGCTGATGTACAGTAGTCAATGTCGGTGCTCTACAGTACGCACGATGTGGAGCAGCTTTGGGAGCTACACTTGTCAATTTGGTACATGCTCAATTTTCGGGAATTTTAATTTGATTTTGTGTCTTGCATGTTCTAGGACCAGGGCTTCAACCGCGACAAGCACTGTTCGTGTCGAGGTCACCGTGACTTAGACAATATCCATGGGAAGCGCAAAATGCTGAACAAACCACTTGTTATCTGCATGGCGTCCAACGGGGGGTGGCCCGCATGCTTTTCACAGTTGCGATGAAAACAATGATTATGCAGAACATCGCACATCCTGTCAACTACAGTACATGTAGTAAACGAATGTATGTATCCACCGGCCCACATTTACTCACACCGTGTATATTGATACCTACCGTAGGCTGCCATGTCCGGACAGACTTCGGTCATTGCCGAGCTTCTGGCAGCTGGAGCGAACCCTCATGCTCGATGTTCCTCGGGAGAAACACCGCTTGATCTAGCTGGAAGGTGATGAAACGACGAGATCCATTTAAACGAAGGAAGAAAATGTCTGCGGCGCCTGTACGTTTGAACCTATCTGATGGAAACCGCAAAGGGAGTTAGCTCCCTCTGCATAGGAGCACACGAGTATCCGCCGCCTTCTCGACCTAGATAAGCCCGTCAAACGAGGTCGGACAGCATTGATTGATGTTACCTGTACCGCCCCGGCGTATCAACAGACCGTATGGCAATTCGACTCTAGCTTTCTTTTAAACCTTCGAATTCCTTTTCCTTTTGACCACGAGCAAAAACCGATTTCACCCCCCTCCTTCTCGCAGGAATGGACACAACGACGCCCTTTCTTGTCTCCTCTGTCATCCTCCACTCTCGGCCCCTCCACCGACTAACAATGTCCACCAAGGACAAGAAACAATGATGAGCACACCGGTGCCGACGGTCACGCAAGGGCCAGGGGCGGTCACAGCTGCTGCTGCTGCTGCTGCTGCTGCTGCTAGTGCGGCAGATGCTAGTGGAGCTGGTGCTGCTGTTGCTCCAAAATCGCCTGAAAAAAAGGGTGGGTCGATCTTCCGACGAAAGCCCTGGGGCCGAAAAGGTACGAAGGGAGCAGAAATTCCAAGCCCGAAGGAAAAAGGTGGTACCTCGTCCCTTGCGAAGACCAAAAGGGGAAGAGGAAAACGCCCAGGATTTACACGCGGTAGCGCCACCGACCGCGGCAGTAGCGAGACCCCCGATGGAGGCATTGACGTCGGAAACGGATGGATCATGTACACGACCACGGAAGGGTTCCCGTACTGCTGGAACGAAACTCTTCAGGAGTCGAGGTTAGGAAGGTGTTTCGGTCCCCTGACAGGGACAAAAGTTACGAAAAAGTGGACTGATGTGCCTTGCACTACATAGTGGCAAGACCAAAATCACGCCCCTTTGCCTTGTACAAAGCTAACCGCTCGAATACTGATGTTTTTCTTCTGCGGTAGAGATTCTCCAGTCATATATCTTAGACCGGATCAGGCGTGGTCATGGGCTGCTCGACTCTTCTGCGGTGCGCAACACTACGGCATTCGCAGGGAAGCACAGCAGGGAAACAACTCCTTGCCGCTTGCAGAGCAACAGCCCCCTCCGAGCAGTTTGACGCACTGTCTCCTCGTCGTACAACTACTCTGCCACAAAAGTTTTGAAAGCAATTGCTCAACAAATACCGTACGCCAAGCGGAGATAATTGCTCTGCCCGTCCCCCAGCCAGGTGCTAGCTACTTTCGCCATGAAGTGCAGCACCAGAATAGTTGCAGCAGCATCACGACACGCCTCACCTTGTACCCCCCTTCACGCGTGGCGCCGGGCATTCATGGCGCCTAGACTCTTCCCGCATGATTTGCTAGGTGGCTGGACCACAACGCCAACCTTCCCGCGGCACCCGGTCAGTCTTCCGGCTCTTCGGAAATCGTCTTCGAGGATTCCCCGGCCCCCATCGTTGGCGGCGGAGGCGGCGGGGGTGGCAGTGGTAGCGGCGACCCCTCCCTCGTCTACCAAGGCGCCCCCACAGACCACCCGGCTTGGAACGAACAAGCGATCGCCGCTATTTACCACAAAAACAACACCCCGGCCGGTCCCGTTCACAGTCCGGGATGGCCTTCACCTCGAGGAGCGGGAGGCGGGTTCATGCAGGTGCCGTCGCCCGCTACACCAACCAACGTTCATGCCGCTTCCGCTGCTACTGCAGCCGCTGCAGCCTTTGCGTCGCCACCCCCGGCCCCGACGCCCCCGGCACCACCACTTCGTAGTCATGTCAAGGAAGATGCTGCCGGGGTGGCTTGGTTGGGGGTGGCCCAGACGACGGCAGGGGGAACTACGGTGGAGGGACAAGCTGGTGGTGAGGCCGTCGCAGGTGACAACTCTAGATATTGCGCAACCTTGGGTAGGGTATCCGCCGGAACAGTCGAGTATCGTGCGCGCGCCGAATCATATCAAACGGGCATGACGTTCTTTCCTCCCGATATCTCATTTGGCAGGCACGACGAGATCTTTCAGACGGGTTTAATTGAGCGTGGGGTTGTATTTCATGTTTATCGTTAATTCAGTGCGATTTCCTCCATGACAGATGAGTAGCTCCGCCACTGCAGTCTCTCGCTTGAATATTTCAACTTTTCCTCTGGCGTTCGTGGAAATCAGGCAAAGCTGTACGTGCGTCCAAGTTGTGTTTTTTCCGTCTCGCTTGCCCTTCTTCGCGTTCCGTATAACAGGGCATCGATAGAACTGTTCACCACAGGCTCTCTACCCACCTACCGTCATTTTCCACCGACCCCACCCCCCCTAAGTTGGAGTTTTCTCGTGTTGTGTAGACAAACGTGAAGTTCTTGGAAGATCGGGTGTGCTACTCTATCGTGCTGTCTGTCCCCGCCCCTACCATGCTTCGCAGGTGGCGCGGCGACAGCCGTAGCAAACTCGGCCTTCTACGGCCAGGAGAACTCGCCGAGCCCCGCGACCAAGGGGAGGCTGTGGGCTGAGAGGATCGAAGCAGGTAGAAATCAACCGCTTTGCCGAGTGGAATATGCCTCGTACTGTGCGATGAAAACACCTAGGGGACCACAGACAGCAGTTTATGTCGGATGTCGCAAGAAATACATGGTCGACACCCAATTCCTCGTCGTATGAGAAACCTAACGTGTGGTAGTGTTCCTGGGCCAACTTGAAGAGCGCGGACGAAGCTTCTGGGGGACATGTTTGTCCAAAATCATCCTTCTTGTCTCAACGGTGATGGCGACCCTGTGTCTTGTGCTCATCCTGCGGTCCTGTCCGCGCTCGTAGCTAGGGTAGAGGCGCCCGGACCATCTGGAGGAGATTCAGAGGCCGCAAAGAAGCGTGCGTGGATGAAGAAATTTCGGCACAAGCCGGACACGAAGGTGCACCCTAAGTCAGTCGCGTATGCAGAGTACCAGTAGTACTTTCTGAAGCTCGTGTTTCTTCCACAACGTTCAACTCTCGATGTCATCTTCATGCCACTTTCCTTCCGAGGATATTCATTTCATCATCCGGTTTCGAACAACTGCTACCCCTCGAAACTCTAGGTAGTGGGGGAGGTGCGTAGTTAATCGTGGAGAAGAAGGCGGTCGTGCGCTTGTCCGATGGGCCCGATGCCGAAACGGGTGTACGTGTCTAGTGGAAACACCAATCTCGGCAAAAGCCAAAATATTGTCTTTTCCATTGTCTTTCCATGGAAACTCGCGGTACCCTCCTCTCCCTGTCAAGACGTTTTCAGTCTTTTTGATAGGCGAGACGCCAAGCACGGTTACAGTCTTCGTGCTAGTTGTGCTCGGGGTGTATAGGATGGCAGGGATTATCATTGTTGAACCGTTGCTTCAGCTATATCCCTCTGTCCATAACTACAGCAGTGATGCCTCCCTGTAACGCGTCGTGTGCGACCTACTGTCTTCTTCATTGTCTTACTGAATGGAAAGGGCGGTGGAAAAGCTAGTTCCAAGACGAGCGGAGCCACAGGTGAATGTCCGGAGAGCCATTGAGTCGAAAAACAGTACGTCACACAGTGTTGGGATTTGAACAATGCTTTCTCACATTGTAGAACGCGTGATGGGTGTCACACGGCGCTGAAGTTGTGATTGTCCGGAACTTTGCAGAGTGTGGGACAGGTGAAACCCACGAAATGTAGCTCCAACGATCTTTTAGTTTGGCATTTTCCTCCCGATCGGACACAACAACCCCTTCTATTGTCCATTTCTTCTGCCATAGATTGACCAGGGAGTGTGCGATCGCGTAGATAATGCCCGGTTTCTCGAATACAGGGTGGACGTTGTCATGCCAAGAAGGGTAGGCGGGGTTTTGGGGAGAAGGAACCACGTCTCGGGGGTAGTTGTTGTCGAAGACATTCTGGAGGGCTAGACTAAGAGCGCACGCTCTTGGCTGTTAACAACCCTGGCATGTATTTATTCTCATGATACATACCCTGAAACACACATATGTTCTCAAAATTCCCACCGCCGTACGCAAAACTCTGCTCAGGGTTCAGTGCAACCTAGAAGCGGCGGGACAAAACTAGAGGTCTTCTCCGACGGAGGGAACATATGTAACAAAACACGGGACAGGGGAACGATATTTCACTAGTTTCCAGTGCCGACGACATCCATCCGATCCGAGGCAGCTCTGCCATTTTCTGAGCACCCTCCCATAGTGTTGAGGGAATACCGACTACCCTCTTGCGTATTGCTAGCAAACGCTGACCACCCACGATCATGTTTCGATATCAATTCAAGGGAGAAGCAGAAGCAGCAGCGGTTCAGGAAATGGCGGGGATGACATTAGCACCCTCACGGACGTGGCGGGCAAAGAAGAGCGTGGAGATGGTGGTGACAGGAGCAGCAGCAGCGATTCGAGCAGTGATTCGAGCAGCGATTCGAGCAGCAGCAATAGCAGGAGCAGCAGCAGCGGAAGTCGAAGCACCGCCACTCGCAACGACAGCAGCAGCGACTCGGATAGCAGCGATGACAGCAGTAGCAGCAGCAGGTACGAGGGGGGCTTCCGACTACGTCCGTGTAGTAAGCGATGGTTTGCTGTTTGATTTGTTTGCCTGTTTGCCAGAATAGTTTGCAGAACCATCGATCACCTTGTCGCTAAGATCGCTCAAACAAAACTATCTAGAGTAACAGGTTACCCAAAGCCAATCGATTGGGAGTTCAAGAGAAAGAAGAAAGCCCCAAACAACGCATAGGACATCGATCCTGCCCACCAACAACAGCACAGCCATCACCGACAAAGGAGACATATTGGTGGTGGACAAACGGGCGTGTGTCGCTCCGTGGTCCCTGCAGAAGAGCTGTCGCGTTTCCGCTTCGCCAAAGACGAATAATAGTCGGAAGATGCTAAGAGGGTAGCCTCTATTGGGACCCATCGACGGTCCTGCTCACCATATGTGCAAACATCGTAAGTATCATGCGAGGCGTACCAGTACGTACTCATGCGCATGGACCCCGTTTTCCGTTCATCATAGAGGACGCTCATTCCCACAGACTCGGAAATTCCAGCCTCTGACAAACCAATTCCTGCTTCATTCAGTTTCCGCCCGCCGTGAGTAGGCACAACTCCAGTGATAAGAACTCTAATGCACAATGCACCCTCTCCACTCCAGAAGGCGCAACAAAGGCGCCGACGAAACACAATACCTCGACTTTACGGACCTCCCGCCCGCCCCTCTCGACGCACGGTGTGCCCCCCCGTCCCACTTCCCCAAATCAGCGATTCGTCAACTTCGACAGCAAGATCCTCCGAATCCATCGCAGGCCGCAGGATGCCCATGCCGAGTACCAGCGGAGAGTCTGTCAACGCCCTCACGCCCCCCCGGTCTACTTTCACGAGTGGATCCGCGCGTGCGGCAACGGCCACGGCCACAGAGACCTCTTGGCCGAGGAGCGGTGCGAGTGCTTCCTCGTCCCCCCCGCAAATGTGGATGGGACAGCCGGCGGTGGCGACAGGGGTTCCCGCTGGGGTGAGTGTTGGCGAAGAGCACGTAAACGATTGCTCCAACTTTCAACTATGGTCTCATTTAAGGCATGTCTCCGGTAGATGACGAGGAGGGAATACTCACTCACAATGGAACAGAGTATTATCTCGACCTTGTGATACTTAGACCTGATCTCTCGGGCACGTGCTGGCAAACCTCTCCAGATAGCCCACATGCTAGTGTTGTTTTCCTCGAAAGACGTCATTATTATGTGATCCAATGGGGTGAATATTATCAGGGTGCCTCATTTGTTTCTTCCTCGTCGTGCCCTCGCTCCGGTTTCGCAAGCCGTCCGATTGCTACTTCACACCACTCCCTAAGTCACACTCAGGTTGCAGCCGTTTGTCCTCCCCGCTCAGCATGAACAGGCCGAAGAACGCCTGCATCACACAACCTCCTCTACCCCCTCGACCCCATCTATTCCGCCCGCAGTACGCGCATCCTGTTGATTCCGTTCACGGCGCATGGCCCGACCTGGAACCGCAACGACAACCACACGCTCCCACCGCGCTGTGGCGTCAGGAAGAAATGCTGGGGGGGTACGGTGAGATTTGCTCGGTCTTAGCTGAGTAGCTCTCAGAGATGTAGAACTATGAGCCACTTCCTCGAGCAACAACGTTCGCAACCCCGCTCCTGGCCTGGCAAGAAGCGTGGCTCCTCTCCATTCTGGACAAGACTTTCCAGTTTACAACAGTCTCGTATGTTTCGCCGATTCAGACACAGGTTCGCCCTAGTCTCCGGTTCCAAAGAACCGTGCGCATCTTGCCCAAACGATTGCGAGCCATCGGTCAGGTTTCACATGGGTAGCATGGTGTGCGCTGTGGTGACAAAGGATCGATTGATCATCTCAGCATACCGCAGATTGCACACACCTCGGACTGTTGTGTTGCAAAAATAGTGACGCTGCCGGAAAAGGCGGCGTTAAAACGGCCTCGTCGAGGGGTTTCCAGTATTGCCTCGATTGACTGCGGCATCCTCTTGGTCAATCGAGCTGTAGTATTCGCTCCAAGGGATGTGCTATGGAATGCAACCTACGATATTCGACACGAAAGTTCTTCCCTACACGAACCATTCGAGCCGGGGAAGTAAACGGAATGACCCCCCCCAAGTTCGCCCTCGAGGACGCGTGGTCGATGGCCTAGCGGCTAAGGCATCCGCTACATTTTAGTACACCCCCCCCGAGCGCTCCCCCGTGAAACTGAGACCGATAATCCCCCCGCCTGTGGGATTCGCGGGTGAATTGGTCGGGGTAGGGTTTTTGCTCTTTTGGCATGGAGCTGTAATGCAGCTGAAGAGAGCATGGGGGCTATTCATGCGGAACATCCTGTGAGCTGGTGGGCTCCGGAGCACATTGTAGAGTGCACACCCTACAAGATAACGGCTGAGCACGGGATGTTGGAACGCCCTGTATTATTAGAGCAAAACTCTTCTGAACGACCTACACCATCTGGAACTTTTCCACCTGAAGTACCTAAGCAGATCACGCCCCCAATTGTATCACACACAAATCGATCTCATCGCAGTCTGTAGTGCACACTATTATCGCACCTGGCATATCGCTCCGTCCCGGTTTGTAGAGATGCGAGGTCAATGGCCCAACGACTACGGCATGCGCTAACATAAGTACACCGCCCTGCGCGCGCGCCCTCCCTCCCCCCCCCGGCCCGGGGCTACCTCCACCCCCACCGTCGTTTCTGCCAAGCAGCTATTGTCGGACGGCCGGCGTCTAACGTGCATTATGAGCAACAGGATCCGCGCCACCAGCAGCAGCAGCAAGAGCCCGCCGAGACCGACAACCTGATCATGCTGTCCTCCTCGCCGCCAAACAACTGACTGATTGACATGTCCGCTGGGGGGGCGGGAGCCCTGTGCATTGTAGGGGCTTGATTTCGACAATGTTCGTGTGTCGTGTAGTCTTTGGTCTAGTGGGCCCGGAATCTAGTTCTCAAAAATCATCAATGTAGACTATTCTAATGTAGGACCTATAGTTCCATTGTGATCGATCTTGATTATTGCTGGTACTGTTAGTTATGTTTTTATTTCTTCAAGAGCACGAACTGAAAAGTGTGCAGTAGAAAATCACATCTTACAGCAGCAGTGAAGCCAAGAAGGGAAACGGAAAACCTGCAAAAAGACCTCATCCTGTCAACCTCTGGAGAACAGACAACAATAATAGCCTTATCCGAAAATATTTCATGTTTTACGATAAGGAGGCGGT